AAATGTATGGTCTGGAATCTGGAGTGCGGCCGCAGCGCTATGCGCTTAAACTGCACAGTCTGACGTAGCGCTATGCGTTAAATATGTATAGCGCTATGCGCTCCAAATGTATGCCCTGGAATCTGGGGTCGGGCGCAGCGCTATGTGCTTAACATGTTTAGTTTGACATATGGGGCAGCGCGACAGCGCAGTGCGCTTGAGTGATTTTTTTTTTTTTTTTTTTTTTTTTTTTTTTTTTTTTTTTTTTTTTTTTTTTTTTTTTTTTTTTTTTTTTTTTTTTTTTTTTTTTTTTTTTTCTCACAGCGGCAATGCGCTAGCGGCCCAATTCGCGGGCAAGAGCAATTATACTATAGTGCATCAGGTGGCTGCTCTACTTCTTCCAGCCCTTCCAGCTGCTCGGTTTGGCGCCACGCTTGTCCTCCCAGTTGTCCACTCCGCGTTCCACTCGGCGTCTCCATCCGACTGCACAGGGCCCTCGGTGTGGCCAGCGCCGCTCGACGCCGCCGCCGCCGCATTGTTGTCCAGCTGGAGCTTTTCCAGGACGGACTCCAGCCTTTCCATGGCGGACTCCAGCCTTTCCAGCTTTTCATTATTCTTCCTCAAGACCTGGTTCATCTTCAGCTCCAGCTCGTCCAGTTTGCCGTCTTCTGCAAGACCTGGCCCAGCTTCTCGCCGAGCTCGTGCACTTTGTCCGTCTGGACCCCGACCTGGTCCATCCCATCAATCGAAGCGCGAGCCGTGGGGTCATCTAAAGCCTGGTCCACCTTCTTCAGGACGAGCTCCGTCTTCTCCTCGTTCGTGGTGAAACCGGCGATTAAGCTCCTCATCGCCTCACCATTCTGCGCAACCATCGTGCTCACAGCAAACGCGAGGTCCATCTGGCCCCCGCTCGGCTCCGCCGCCGCCGCCGCGTTCAAACCCCAGGATGCCCCCGATGGGGGACCTAGCTTGGGCTCCGCCGCTGAGAGGCAGCTGGGCCATGAAGCTCCTGATGGCGGCCCCGTGGACATGATTGCCGCTCCGAGCCCGACTCCCGTTGCCGCCGCTGCGGGGGCGTTGGCCGTTGGGGCTTCTGCTGCCGCCGCCCCCGCCGCCGCCGCTCCCGCCTCCGCCGCTCCTGCTGCCGCCGCCGCCGCCGCCGCGCTTGCTGGCGCCTCCTCCTCCGGCTCTGCACCGCCCCGCCCTGCACCGCCGAGGCCATCGTCTTTGGGAGAGGTCGCCCCCCCCCCCCCCCCCATACTTTTCGGACCTTGCCACCATCTCGATCTTGATCTCGCGCATTGTTCAGCCCTCTGGATGTTTTCTGTGTTCTTGAAATCTCCGTCTCCAGTTCTGCTTCTGTGCTCAGCAGAATCCAAGTGCTCGTTGGTAACCGTCTTCAGAATGCCGTTCTTCTTGGAGCACAGCGCGCGCGTCCAACGTGCCGAAACTGTAGCGGCGGCGGCCGCGGACTTGTGCCGCGGCGCGTTTCTTGCCGCCACCTCTGAATACTAATGTATCAAGGCGGTCCGCCTGCGATACCTCAAACTACTCTTTGTCCCATGCCTGCGCGCCCCTCGGCTCAAGAGCGGCAGCGGCCACCGTCGCTGGCTGGCCCTGCTTCGCTGGCCGAATCTTCGCGGCTCCAAATGCTCGAGCCTAGGTTCCCGAAGGGATCGCGGAGAGGCTCACGCATGGACCAGCTCAGCCTCGGCCCTTTTCAGGGCCGCGCTTCGGGGGGGAGAGGAGATCATCATCATCAGCATCACCACCATCGTCATCATCATCGTCATCATCACCATCACCGCCACTTATGCATTCACTCACTACACAGCCATGCGTGCGTTGCGAGGGCGTCTCAGGCGCCCCCCCCCCCCCTATGGGGCACGCGGGCCATGTCATTCATCTCGCGAATTATCCTTCCAAGCGCAGTGCGCTGCCCCTACTCGCGGGTAACATTGAATTTCTTCCGCAGCTGCGGCGTTCGGCTTAGCCCGTCGACCGCGACTGGCTCGGCACGCGGCCACGGCAGCGACCTTCGCTGCAGCGATGGAGGCTCTCGCGGCCCAGTCTGGTCACGCTGAAAAAAGCTTTCCAGAGCTGACGTCGTCGCTCAACGCCTTGCCCACCTCTACCGCAGGCCCCGGAGCAAGGCCCCCCCCCCCCGCCCCCAGAGAGGCCCGCGGGCGCCCCCACGACGCTCGGACCAGCGCCCGAGAGCACTCAACGCCTGCAGAACAGGAAAGCAGAGAATTCGATGACGAACGACGCACTGAACAAAATCGAAGCCACGATGTCAACGAGGGGGGAATTCATGATGTCAACGAGGGGGGAAGCAACGGGGCCGTGCGCCCACGCCCCTGCAGCAGAAGCCGGTCGAGTCACTGGGCAGTCGCGTACCAGAGGCACAGGCTGCGGATGCGTGGCGCGAGCCGTTGAAGCAGGACATGGTCTCGGAGCAGAAGTGGGCCCGCGAGGGCCAGGCGCGCCGCCATGAACAGCGGGCGCAGGACGACGAGGCGCAGGACGGGAAGCGGGGCGAGCGGCGGGGCGAGGCGCAGGACGAGCGGGGCGAGCAGCGGGGCAAGGCGCAGGACAAGAAGTGGGGCGAGCAGTGGGGCGAGGCGCAGGACAAGAAGCGGGGCGAGCAGTGGAACGAGGCGCAGGACGAGAAGTGCAAGCAGCAGCATCATCAGCGGTGCGAGGCGGTGGGCCAGCGCCAGCAGGCTGAGAAGCAGAAGTGGCCCGCAGACGAGAAGGAGCAGCGGCTCAGCTGGAAGTGGAAGGAGGAGCAGCAGGCGCAGCAGCAGAATTGGCCCGCGGACGAATGGAAGCATAATCAGCAATGGCTCCGCTCGGGGTGGGATCAAGCGCAGCAGGCGCAGGAGGTGGGGGGGCCCGCGGACCGCGTGGAGAGCGAGTGGGAGGAGCATGCCGATGAGCACTTGCAGGGTCCGTGGACAAGGCCCAGTACTATGCCTGCGACGCAGGAGCAAGCACATGGCAAGCCAGGCCGCAACATTTGAACGCATCCGAGTGGCAGCGATGGCATCATGGGCAGGCCAAGGCGCTTGAGGCTGCAGCCAAATTGGATCAATACCAGGCATGGCAGGCGACTGGGCAGTGGAACGCGGCTGCACCTTCAAACGTGGAGTGGGGTGAGGCAATGGGCTCCTCCAGACAAGTGGGGGCTAATAGTCGGCGGACTTCGTAAGGGCGATGTTGAGACATGGGCGCATGCGAATGAGCTGATGCGTCTGCACTGGGGAACGTCTTCGGAGGAAGGTCATCAGGCTGCGCAGCTGCCAATGATGCCACCACAACACTGCGGAAAAGAAGGCGGCGGAGGAGGCGGCGGAGGAAGTGGCGGAGGAGGCGATGGTGGAGAACAAATCCAAGAACCACGCCAGAAGAAGCGCAGGCAGCAGCGCGGCGGCAGGTTCAAGACTTGGCAGAATGCCAAGCATGCCGCGGGCAGACAAGGATGGCCGGCTCAGTTCTTGGCAGAGAACCCCGACCCGCGGAAGCGCATCTGGATGAGGCGCAGCCGTAGGCCTGCCAATAACGTAGCGCGTGCGCTGTATATATATATATATATATATATATGTACTGCTTAGCGCCTGCGCTACATTGCGCTTGCTGCGCTGCAATGTATGAGCACAGATAAGCAGCATGGCTTTCCTAACGCATTGCGCTGTGATCATACCCTCATGCCTCCCGTGCGCACTGCGCTGCACCCCTAAGCTCATGGCACCTGGCGGCGGCGACGATGAAAGGGATGCGGAGGAGCGAAGGGGGGGGGGGGGGGTTATTGAGGCGAGGTCAGGCGTGAGGAAGAGCTGGAGCTCGGAGGACAGCGCAACGCGCTCTGGATCAGAGAAGCGGATATGAAGGGCCCAGGCTAAGCGCTAGTTGCTAACCGCCAAGCGCTACGGGGAGGTGGGATGAATCATTTTCCCTGCTGGCGAAAAGCAGCGCTAACGCTATGCCTGCGCAACGCAGCGCAGGCCGCCAGCGGCCCGATCGCTCCGCCAGCATCGCTGAATTTCCGCATCACTTGCACCCGTCTGAGGCCCATTTCCTCACCGCCGGCATCGCCGCGGCCATCGTCTTGAACTCGCGCCCCCCCGCTTCTCCCCATCGGAGGCCCCTGCGCAACGTCCCGCCGCTCTTTTTCGGAATCCGCACATGCGCGTTCTCGCGCGAGTGCTCCGCGTCGAACCGCCCCCTGGTGGTCTCCAGACTCGGCTTAGCAAGCGCATGGTGCTTGAGCGACCTGGAAGGCGCGTGAATGTTCACCATTGCCCCTCGCGGACTTCCCTGGAGTTGCGACCGTCTCGTCTTCATCCTCCGACGCCACTTCAGTCTTCGAAGCGCTTCCATTCGCTGCGTCCGCCTTCCTCTTCGCAGTCGCCCCCTCCTCCTTCTGCGCCTTCGCCTTCGCCGTCGCCTTCGGCTGCCTGTCCATCTTCGCGCCCGCCGTCGGCTCCTCCGCCCTTAGCCTTTGCCGCCGCCCCCCCTCCTCCACTTTCGCATTCGCCTTCTCGAGCTTGGCCTTCAGCTTCTTCTTCGCGCCCCCCCCGTCCATGGGGCCCAGCGGATCAATCGCAGAAGGCGCGGGCGCTGGCGCAGAAGCCGCAGGGGGCGGCGCAGGCTCTCCAGCGGCCGCAAGCGGCGGCGCAGGCGCAGCCGCAGGCGGCGGCGCGAGCGAAGCTGCATCGGCGCACCTGCCGCACTCATCGGCGCTCGCGTCAGCAAGGGCGAAGAATTCCTTACTGTGAGATCGCCTCGTGCTGGATTCCGCGCGCCCGTCGTCAATCTGAAGACGGCGTTGGCCGCGCATGGCGTCTTCGAAGGGTAACCCGCAGCGCCTGCCGTCAAAGGGCGGCAGTCTCCTCATCATTATTGTATCCAGTAGGCGGTCTTGTCGGTCCGATTACCGCTAGAGCTCCCGCGAGAAGCTGTTCGCCACGTTCTGCGCGGTGGTCCAGGGCGCCGCCAGGCAAGTGCAACCGTTGCCTCTAGAACTGAATGTAGCGGCCATCGTTTTTGATCATCGCAGTATCGGTGTTGCTCGAAACTGGCAGCGCCCCGTCGGCGTAGGCCCGCGCGAAGATCGCGGGGCGCTTCCCCTCGTGCTGCGACGGGGGCGGCGGCGACGCCCCGATGATCTCGACGCTGTTCTGCGCCGTCCGCGCCCGTGCTTTCCAGGCGCTCTTGAGTGCGTCAAACGTCTGGATCTTCTTCGCCTGGCTGAAGCGCGCCCTCATGTCCTCTGTCCGCAGGATCAGGCGTGCCGACAGCATGCGCTGCGCAGCCTCCGATGGCGCCCTCGCCCCCAAAGCCGCCACGCGGTTGAAGCAGACCTCCCTGACTTCTAGCGGCCGCCCCCCCTGGTTCGACATGGCGCCGCGCTCGGCCTCTGTGAAGTAGCCGAAAACCGCCCTGAAATCCTGCGTCAGCTTGCGTTTCTTCTTTCTCCCCTTCTTGGCGGCGGCGTTCAGCGACTCGACCGCTGCGGCCAAATCGCTTGCAGCGAAGCCCATTTGCGCTGCTAAAGCCAGCAGGTGCGACGCCTCTGTCGAACTCCGGGCGGCCGTCGCCGAGCTCGCAGACGATCTGAGAGCGTTCGCATGGACCTCAGACGCAGCGGCTTGCAAACTCGCTGGGGCCTGCTGCAGAAGCAGCTTTGTCGCCCCAAGGCGGGCCCGCAGATCCTTGTTCAGATCCCCCGTGGCGTCGCAACCCTCTGCCTGGCTCTGCGGGCCGCGGGCGCCGCCAAAAGCGAATCGCCAGCCCCGCGCGGGCCGCGCGTCAGCGCGCGCGCGCTCGAGCCAAAAAGGCGGCAGCGCGCGCGACAGCGCTTCGCGCTAAAGCGGACAGCGCCGCGCGCTTGCGGGGGCGAGGAGGAAGACGAGGAGGGGCGGCCCGCGTTCCGGAGGGGGGAGAGGGAAGCCCACCGTCCACGCTGCTCTCTGCCCTACCTCGCCTGGGCGCGACGGAGCGGCCAGCTCGGGCAAGCGCAGCGACTGTCGGCGATCTTCGCGCCGACGTGCAAAGCCGCGACAGGAAGACGCCGCGGGCGCGCGCGGCACCGGGGGCAAGAGAGGAGGAGCGAAGAGACTGAAAAGAAGCGCGCAGACAACCAAGAGCAAAACAGGCAGAGAGAAAAAGCATCGCGATCGGATGGGAGGAGATGAGGGAGGAAGGATGAATATGGGTCAACACCATAGTCACGTGGAAGAAGACGGAGCAGAGTTCGGAGCGCACGCGCACCAATCGGACATGATGCATACTGAAGAATACCATCTCCACCCGCAACATAGCATCCAAATCGGCACCCCATAGCACCACAACGGTAACGACGGGAAGCGTTCCAGGAGTTAAACATAGCCCTGAGGAGGGGCGTGGATATATACATGCAGGCAGATGTTGCCCACAATGATGAAATCTCAGCATGGCACGACCAGCGTTCGCATGGGAGTAGTCATTCCATGTCCGCATACGGGGCAGTATAATCGAGGCAGTAGGGGGGAGAGGAACGTCACGCAGAACATGTTTATGAAGACAAGCCTGCAGACGCTGAGCTGGCACATCAACAGGGGGAGGGTGGATACGGTAAAAGCTGTCGTACTCAGACTTCATCTGCAGTAAGATCGAGTGGGCACTCAGCTGCTTGCGCCGCCAAGCAATGCACACTTCACCCAAGATGCACCAGGGGTCCTGGAGGGCAGAGTGCTGGGCGAAACTCTGGCTTCTCGTGGCAGCACGGATGAGACAGGCGCGAGCGTAGGTCTCCAACCTTCGAGCCTCAACTTTGCGCCCAATATTCTTCAGATCGAGCAAGGAGTTCGGAGGGAAGCTGCGCCTGGGGGCGCAGGTGAGCAACTGCAGCCCGTCTTTTTCAACGCGACGTGCCAGAGCGCTAGGATGGTGCACCTGGGCCAGAGACCACGGGGAGCCCATGGACGTCGCGCGCCGCATTGCTGCTAGAGCTAGAGAGCCCCAGACGCATATATTTGACCCTGAAGCACCTCTCCTTCAACTTCGCCAAGACAGGGCCCCAGGAACGCTCAGCTGAATCAATCCCAACTCCCACCCCCGGGCACCGCCAACATCTGGAGACCTGAAGGCTGCCAACTCGAGCCCCAGCTTCGCGGCAAAGCTGAGGGGCAGCCCTATATGCGTCAGGGCCAGGGAATACCAGCCGGCACTTCTTTGCGTTCAAAAGCAGACCTGCGCCGCCCCCGCCCAGCAATAGGAGCCGAAAGAAGCGCGGAAGCACGCTGATCAGGTCGCTTGCTGTCGCGGCAAGGTCATCGGCAAACGCGTTGTAAGTAATGGCAGTACCTAGCGAGAGCTTCTGGAGCTTACGAATTACAAGATCAAAGCATAGACTGAAGAGAAAGCCACTGAGGGGGGCACCCTTGTTTAATCCCCCTGCACAACATAACCGCGCACGGCTCAAAGATGTTACAGCTCGCAAGCATGTGGCTGCCATGACACAGTGCAATGGTACTCTTAGTAATAAACTCAGGAATGCAGTAGCCATGAAGCATAACCCAAATTATGTTCGCGGCCGATGCTGGGGAACGCAGCCTCAAGGCCGAGCAGGGCAGATCCTGCCCGCCCCTGATCACAGAGGGAGTTATAAATCATAAGGTTGACGTATTGCTCGATGATGTTCTCTGTCTATCACCTGGCGTCCTCTAAGGAAACCTGTCATGGGAACCCTGTACCATTGGCAACCTGCGACAATGGCCAAGCAATGCTTGCACTCAACAGTTCGTTGTCCGCGTTGGAAAGGGGGAGAGGCCTAGTGCCCCCAGGGAAGCGCGCCACAACTTCTCCTTCAAATGACTGGCCCTTCGCGTGGAAGGCGGCCGTGCTCGTATTAATAGAGGAAAAAGAATTATGCGCATGCGCCGATTCTGGCCAGACCCATCCTGAGCCCAGGATCGGTGCATATGCCCTCCTACCTTGGCCAGGAAGGCATATGCACCGATCCTGGGTCAAGGATGGACGTTGTCAGGATCGGTGCATGTGCATAATTCTCTTCGCCCGAATTAAAGTCCGCGGGCAGGCTCTGGCTCTCAACCAGCTCGCGGCGCAGCGCGTGCAGACGCGGAAGACCAACATCCCCTGCTGCCTGCCATGCCCAGGACGTTAGCCCATCAGGGCCAGGACAGGTATCTGTCATCGGGTATAATCCAGGGATAAGACGGACCAGTTTGTGAGATGTACTGGAAAACATCTCGGGGGATTGGCTCAAGTGTGGCCATTGAGTCGGCAGTGGTGTCGGCGTCGGCAGAGCGACGCTGGGAAACTCCACCCCAGTGCCCTGCTTGCAACCGAGAACAAGCGGCAGGGTCAGCATGCGCCACTCCGTCCGCATCTGTCACCAGCTTGAGAAAAATCTGTCTGCCCGAGCGCTTCCGGGCTAGAGACGTGCGTCGAATGCGGGCAAGCTGCTGAGCAACGCGCGCCCCCCTCGTCGGCACCGACCGCTTCCGCGCGCGCAAAGGTCTCGCAGGTCTGCGGGGACTGACGCATCAGGTCAGCATAGAGCAGGTCAAGGACCACGCGGTCAGGCCACCACATCTCCCGAGGATCAATGTACCCACAGAGGTCTGGAAACCCTTTGAGGCCCTTAGAGACCCCGCGGAGGTCCCCCAAGCGAGCACCCCCAAGAACACCCAACATACAAGACAGCTTTTCTCCCGTGGTTCTTGCTCCTTTTTCAAAGACCCAGTCCTTGACGCGACGCGCGACAACGTGCGTCGCATCCTTGACATCCCGGAGACGGGTGGCCGGGTCCGCGGGCAGGAACTCTGGGCCCACTATGTTCCGAATCATGATGCTGAGCTGCGCATGCTTACTCACCAAGGAGGTCGTGCGCGGGCGGCCCTGCGGTGCCCAGCGAGCTCGCGATGAGAACGCTGGGCAATGATCCGAAGGCGCTCCAAATCGGCAACCGGCCAGAGCGTTCCCGGGCGAGGACAGAGATCCAGAATGTCTTGCGAGGCAAGCGTGCAGAGAATACGATCAAGACGAGCAGACGAGATATGTGCAACGCCACCCTTGGCATCGCAACGAATGATGCGACGCGCGCCCCTCTCCGGCAACCTCCCCGAGAACCCGCGAGACACGATTAAGAATAAGCAGCTAGCCGCGAGCCCACGGCTTGCGGGTAGTTGCAAACTCCCGCGCCCGCATTCGCGCGCAGGCGCGACCCCCCAGTCGCCGTGCAATCCCAGTCGCCCAGCACAATGCCGAGCGAGGCCGCAGTTGGCAATGGTGCGCGCTGCATTTTGCGAAAGACCCCCCTTACTTCCCATTTTGCCATAAAAATCAATATGAAAGTGAACTAGTTGACAGCGCCCAAGAGAACCCTGCAGGAGGAGGTAGGCAGTGCGCCCTGGAACGGTTTCACGCAAGTTCACGGCCTGACACTGGGCCAGCAACTGGTTCGAAATGAAAAACAGCACGCCACCAGCAGGGGCAGAAGCACAGAAAGAACCATGCGGACGATGGGTTTTGTGACCCTTCTCGACCGCTCTAAATCTGATCCAATACCGCGGGGCTCCTGAAGGCGCGCAACATCGTTTCTCTCGAGCGCGGACTCCCAGTCGTCGAAACTTCTCGCGAATAACATCTTGATTGGTAGACGCAGACCCCAGGATAGTCTGGACATTCCAAGTCCGCTGGCCCACGTCGCAAGGACGAGAGGGGGGGAAGGGGGGGGGGGGGGGGCTGCTGCTAGGCACAGGAGACAGGCTGCGACTGCCACTAGAATGGCAAGCGTGAGCGCGCGGAGAAAAGGCGGCCCCACGATTAGAGGCCCTAAAAATCAATGCTTTCACTCGCAGGAAGCTGCGCCCCGCGCTGTCGACCTGAGTGCGACTGCCCATTGAGAGCTCCCCAGTGACGGGGCGATGCGTCTGCGCCGATCTGCGGCGCCGTCTCATAGCCGACGCCCCACCCCGAGAGCTCTGCAACAATCGGGAGGAACTCTTCTTGACCAAGGCCTGACTTCTTCGTCTTGACGAGCTCCCGCGCGTCACCTCCGTCGATTTTCTGGAAAAAAACCTTGGGGCCATTGGCCCCGGGGCGGCAGTCGCTCGCCCACTTGGGCGAGCGCTTGAGGGCCATGAGGAACGGGTCATGGATCCCATTGAACGATCTCTGCCGATCACGAACGTCGGGGGGGGGGGGGGGAGGTCCTGCCGACAGCGAATGTCCACCGTCTTCTTCGTGCGCTTGTCCGCCCTCTCGTGCCCATCCGTCTCGTTGCGGGTTCTGGAACGCCTTCGCACTGACCGGGCTCGGGAACCTGACCTTGTATGACTGCGACGCCCCATGGAACGTGGCTTCCACATTATCCAGCGAGCGCTGGCAGCGCCGCACGATATGCTCCTCAGAATGAGCCTCGCGAGCTTCACGAAGCAGCGGACGAGGAATGGTGCCGATGAAGCGCGCTGTTGCATCCGAGGGATGTTGATGAGCAGGGCCGCGACCACGACCTGTCATCACGCTGGAATCTTCATCGGGCAGGCCCCCATCAGCACCCCCTGCCGTAGTGCTGCGAGCTTCTCCATTTGCAATATATGTCACTTGGCTGGGGAGCACAGCGATGGTGCGGCTCTGCTCTTTGATCTGCTCCTGGTGGCTGATCGTGTCCTGCTGAATGGAGTTCAGGATGATATCGTGGTCTGCAATGTGTTTGTTAATGCTGGCCACGGACATGTCCAGCTTGTCC